GGGTTTAATATTTTTCCTAGAACTTTTTTTTTTTTTTTTTTTTTTTTTTTTTTTTTTTTTTTTTTTTTTTTTAAAAAAAAAAAAAAAAAAAAAAAAAAGAGGAAGGTTGTATTTTAGGAAATCCCAGATTGCTTTCTCCAAAGTAATTCCTACTGCCAGGAGATTCAGTGACACCAATATTCCTCCTTGTAAAAAGATGGCCAAACATGCCAGCTTATGCTCACGTTATTGGTTGCTGTTGCTACAGTCACTTGGTCCTCTCACAGTTACAGGAGTCCAAGTTGTGTCTTCAACTCCAACAGAGGTCAAAATTTCCCTGTTAAACTATTGTGAGAAAGCATTCAAACTGTCCCCAGGCTGTTATCTCAGAACAACAGCTCAGGAGATAGGTTTTTAGGCAGTGGAAGATTCTGGGTTCCAAATTTATCCTTCAGAAGCCTGGAGCAACTCATCTCAGTTGGTCATAGCCATGAAAGAAGATCTCAGAATGATGAGCCTGGGCTTTAAAAAGCCTTATTTAGCTCCAGGTGGGCAGCATGTTCCTACAGGCTTCATGCCAGGTCCTATTAAAATGAGCACCTGTGGGGAAAGTTAAAGCTATTGCTTAAGAGGTATGGCAAGAGGCTGTTAATGTTTTCAGCCAGACTCTGTTTGTTACAAGCTGGAGGTAAAATCACCCGCTGTTTTGGATAACCCTCACTGGTTCTTCAGTTAATACCTCAGATGCTTTGCATTGCAGAAGCAATGAGTTTCCATGTGGTAGATTGGCTTTGTAGTAGCCGACATCAATTAGTTGGGATTGCAGTCATTCCAGCTGCAGATACATGTCCTTCTGTTACACCACACTTACTGGTTTGCTCACAACTAAAATCTGCTGGTCCTGTTTCAGGCCACTTGGTGAACATCGGTGCGGGGAGCAGCGAAGGATTCACCGCTGGTTCTATTGCCTTTTTGGTGCTCAATGCTTTTTTAATTGTTTTAGGTAAGTTTCAGTTCCACATATGATTGTTTATGGAGGGGTATTTGGAGCCAGACCATTAATAGCATTTGTGGTCCCCCTGTGGTTGAGATGCAGAACTGAGGGAGTCTCAGCTCTCTCTGTTGCTCCGATTAAGCAAGAATTGAAATGTTTTGCCCACAGCCAGTAACAGAAGCTGAGCTGGGCTCAGAAGAAACAGTCATAAGGGAACTGAAGAACATTTCAAAGAAAATAAAAGGTTCAAATAAGGTGAAAGTGTCAGACGGACTGGGCCACTGGCACATACCCACAGTCACCCTCTAGCCCAGCTGCTATAAATCAGAATCTTCTTGGCTGCCTGAGAAGTGTTTTCCATGTGAGCACAGTGTACTGGCAGGTTAAGGTTTTGGCAGCTCCTCTCCTGAAAGCTGAGGGCTGAACAAACCATCGCCGTACCTCTCTGTTCCTCCATGCACAGGGAAGTCAGATCATGGAGTGCTTAATTTAATCAAAAAGAGAACAAGTTGATTCAGACACTCTTCTGCTGTTTCACATGTATATTTATGGGCCATTCTCTGATGCGAGTCCCTCTTATTTCTCTTTCTTTTCACAGCTTCCACTTTCAACGTGGTGCTTCTCTGCATGACCCTCGCAATGGAGCTCTTGACCATTTGTTTTCTGCTCTTTACATTGGAGAACCTTCCATTGCCATTTGAAAGTGAGTTTTAGGTGAACTTGATCCTCAAACCTCCACCTCTAGAGTGCAGTGAGTGGGTTCCTGGTTGGGGAACAAAGTTCTGCACAAGCTCAGCATGGAAAAAAGCAAGCAGAAGAGTGTGTCATCTTTCCCCAGAAGATTGGTGTGTGTGCAAACTACAGACCCTGAGCCTTTCAGCTCCACAACTGGAGGAGGAAACCTTTCCTCATACCATCCCCAGGCCTTTGAGCTTTCTAACAAACATTTAGGTGTGGCTGATACTGCTGAATCAAGACAATCTCCTGAGGTTGTGTACCCTCCTACTTTCTAGTAGTTGTTCAGTCAGCTGAGATTTTGGATGAACTGAACTTGTCACTGGTGTGAACGGCTGCAGTTCTGTTGAAGCTTTGGCTTTGCAGAAAGTGAGAATTTTATTTTTAATTACGTAGAGTGTTTTAGCAAGATGCTTTGTGGAAGCTTTTCCACCAGGAAAAAAAAGAAAAAGCCACATGGCAAAAGATGGACAGGTAGGAAAGCCTAGAAATGCCTTGAATTCTTAGACCCACAAATATGTTGGACCGCAAATGTTGCATGACAGGAAAGACTGAAGTGAGTTTGCAATCCTGTGAGTTTGCGGGGAAGTCGTGGGACATAGCAGAAAACAAAACTTTGTCATCACCCTTCCTGCCTTTGACTCTCTGGGTTTTTTTCCAGTTGCGATGTTAAGCATCTTCAGCATCATCTGCTTCTATGGAGCAACAGCATCACTTGCAAACTGCATGTTTGGGAAGGATCTCATGATGATGGGACCCCCTCTGTTCACAGTAAGAGATTTTTTGCACGATGGTGTTAGCTTCCCTGGTCAGGAGGGGGTATCCGGGAGTCTTTGGTCTTCCCTATGGGAGTTCAAATTTCCATTGAGTGTCCTTCCTTTGAATCCCTTAGTGCCATTTGAAATCCCAGTCACAGCATTTCTGCAAGGAGCTGAAAACAAGCTGTCTTCATTATGAATAACATGTTGGGAAACTTGGAGAAAGGGGAGGGAAATTTACAGAACTCCTACCTTGCTCCAAAATGCCTGTCTCCATGGTCCTGTGGAATTAGCCATCTCCAACCCAAGAATTGTTGGCAGGCTGAAGTTTTAAAGACCATAACCTTGGAGGCGGGAAATTAGGGAGTTAAAATTTTCCCAAAGTGGGTGGCGAGAGCTCCCCACTGTATCTGCTAACTTTGAACTTTTTCTACCATCTTGTATGTCTGACCAAGGCAGTTCCACCTGACTGGGCTGATTGATCTGACAGTTCTAATTCCTGCTGCAGAGAAACATTTTCATTAAATCAGCGTTTGTAACCATGAAGACTCATGAGAAAACACTTGAAACTTGATCTTACTCAAGTTCCTCTGGATTTAAGATTCCCTAGCAGTTTCCTTAGGTCATCTTGGAGAGCAGCTGTTTCTCCAGGAAGCGGTCACTGTACTGGGTGGGATTTCTCTCCTGTAACTCTAGGCATCAGCAGTTCAAACATCCTCACCTGAGCTGGTCTCTTTGATTTTATTACTGGGACAAACCTACCTCACCTACTTCAGGTGAAGCATCCCAAGAAGTGCTGCCTCTGCCCTTGGACTATCAAGGGAGCGTGGCACAGTGAGACACCTGTATTTGGGTGGGTTGAATCCTGCCCTGTGTTTCATTTCTTTGCTTATTCCTACCTTAATGGCTTTGTTGCCTCCTGTTCATTGCCAGGCTGAGAGCTCTAAGAAGGACACCCAAGAGCCTCCACCCTGTGTCTGCCCCAAGTCCCACTGTACGAGTGGCCTGAGGACCATTGCTGACTTGCTGAACACGGGGGCCGTGTGTGGAGTCCCCACAGACACTGTGTACGCGTTGGCAGCCTCCTGCAAACACCCCCAGGCTATCGAGAAGGTCTACAGGATCAAGGTGTGAATTCAAGGCTGTCGTCTCTATTTGGATCCTGTTTATGTCCCATAGAAGCAGAAATGGGAGCCCCTTGTTTCAAGTTGTCCTAAGACTTGCGATTTGACCGTGGGTAGAGTTTATGAACAGCCACACCAAAACATTATATTTGGACCATTTTCTGAGCTGGGTGATCTGGGGTGGCTCCATCCTGCTTCACAGCGGGGGCAAAGCACAACCCCAAACTGGAACTGCCCCGACGCTTGTCACAAAGTGGGTCCAAACCTGTATTTGTCCTCTCTGCCTCACGAAGTGCTGAATCAGAATCCCAGCTCTAAATTCCCCCAGATTTTTGGAGACATTCAGTGCTGGAGCCAGAACCAAAGTTTGCACCTTCAATACAACTTTTGCAGCCTGGCCCCGTCCCTTCTCCATGAGGCAATTTCCTGGCTAGCCTGGAGAAATAAGCATAACAGACTATCTCAGCTGGCACTTGGTGTGAACATCAGCAACAAAGGCAGTCTTTTCTCTCCTGCTTTGGTGCCAGTGCTAACCTTCCCTGACGATGAGATAATATAAACAGAATGTAAATACATGCCCAGTTCCTTAGTCATTTGGCCCCACAGAAACTGATGTCAGTTGAGGACTGAAATGACACCGCTTTGTGAGCTCTTTTTATTTTCCCTCCCTATCACTGTTCGTTTTGCAGCAAGCTTATTTCAAAGCACTGAAGAACTGAAGTGGTCATGTAGGTGTTGTTTTCCAGGGCGTCAGGCTCTCCTTCCATTATCCCGTTGTAAATCGGTGGCTTTCACCTTGATTTATACCAGAATAAGTCAAAAGAAAATCAGGCCCCTGGTGTATAAGATGTTAAAAGCACCAGTGATGAGCAGAACCTCACCGTCCCTCCATTGGTTGTGTCTAAAGCAGGGATTTGGATGTATCCCACCAAGATCCCAAGGGCAGACCCCTGTTCTCTCTCTTCTTCACTTTGCACGTACAGATCTGAGCTGTGGCATCAGTCACATCCTGCAGTCCCCTCCTGCGCTCAGCATTTTGTGCAGAGATAGCATCTTGCTTGCTTGGAGCTTCTGGTCCCCAGGAAGCACGCAAACCAGGATTCCAGTGGGCTTTGATCTTCTCAACCCAAACTTCCTCTCTCCACCTATTTTCTTCCTTCCTCTCTTCTGTTTTTTTGCAGGACAGGCCTCAAGAAAAGCCCATCTGCATCTTTATTTCAAACCTGGACCAGCTGCGAGCGGCTTCTCCCCCCATCAGCCCCCTGCTTTGGGAATTCATGGAAAATGTTTACCCTGGTGGCATCGGTTGCATTATCCAGAAAGGAGAGTGGCTGAAGAAGTTAGGTGAGATGAACAGGACAGCCCTTTCTCTCCCTCTTTCATGTTTTCAACACAGCGGGTCTCCAACCCACACACCCCTTGGGATGTCAGTGGGGAGAGATTCTGTTCATTCTGTCCTGAGAAATCATCTCTGCAGCTCCTACATGCCTTGAAAAATGTTTAGCAGAGGGTGTTAATGAGCTGGAATGATTCATTAACCGTATGAGCCAGCATGATGATTTCTTTAACTCAGTCAGACTCGAAGGAAGGGAGGCTCATCAGCTTGGGAGAGTCACCTCTTTCAAGCCCGTAGCTGTTAGTTAGGAATGAGCAACCCCTGGGTGGAGCATCAAAGACACAAGAGGTCCCCAGGGGACAGGGTTCCTATGGGCATCCCTTCTCCTCGCCTCTTCCTTCCTACCATATGGACACAAACCACTGTGAGCACAGTATGATTCACACTCAAACCTGGCTCCTGGGAATCAATGAAAACAGTAAAGACTGAAGAAACCATGGGAGTTACTCATTCTTGGCAGGCAGAGGTATGTGACGGGGGTTGGGAGGGTAGGCAATGATCACAAGAAGATAGACTCTGTGGTATTGGTAGATCCCATGTCCATGAAGGCAGCTATGCTGGTCTTCAGCCGTTAATCTTTTCCTTCTGTACTTAGTCCCAAAATCTTACAGCTGCTCACATGGATTTCTGATCAAGAAGCTTCTCTGAAACTGTGCAAAGAGGTCTGCAATTTTGTTTGTGGTGCAGAGCAGGGTCACTAGCAAGGAAAGCAGGAGGTATTCCTCTGATGCCAGGCCAGGTATTGTGTCTGTCTTGCCTTGGCCAACGTCCTCTGTCTTCCAAGGGGTTGGAGCAGGCTACAGCCGAGTGGGAACCCAAGACAGTATCATGATCAGAGTGCCCGACCTGACTGTCCTGGTGCACCTCATCGACATGACGGGGCCCTTGGCAATCACCTCTGCCAACCCCAGCGGAGAGGTTGACAGCACGCACCACGACATGGTCATCTCGTGAGTACCTCATTCCTTGGCATTTCTATCCCAATGCAAACCAGGACAGCATCAGGTGGGAGGCCAGCAAGTTTAAGTGGTGCATAGATCACGATTTGATGCCCTGCATTGAGGGGAACTTCAGCACAATGTCATATGAGATACCGTGTAGTTTTGTTGGTTTTTTTTCCCCCTACAGGCGCCTTGGCCATAAGCTGGAGGGTGTTCTCTGTGATGGAGAATCTGATGAGGTGGTGGCATCAACCGTGGTCAACTGCACAAAGATTGATGAAAGTGAGTGTGAGAACCACCCTCTCTATGTCAGCAATTGCGTTTTCCTGGGACGTTTCCATCCCTTTCAATAGTATCAATCTGGCAGCACAGTGTGCTCCAAGAGTAACTGTTCTTGAGTGCCTGGACATTTGCAAACATGTTGATGAAGAGAAACAAACAAAAGATGTCCTTGGAGGACCTCTGTGTTGACAGGGAACAAGGCAGTGAGGAGAAACACGGTTGTGCAAGCAAAAACTGCCTTAAAAGAGCAAAAATGCCTCAAGTGGGAGGGTGGATGCTTCTGAAAGGAAGGGTGTGTTCTCCTTGTAGACCACCAGGATGAAGGTGTTACAGGAGCTCATTCGCAATGATGTAACAGCACAAGCCGAGGCTGGATCTGGCTTGCCATTTGCGTAGGATCCTCTAGTGGAAAACCAAACTCCCTTAGTTGGAAAACCAAAGTGTGGGTTCAGGGTTGGTGGGTGTTTTTGCTTTTGACAAAGTTTCAGCTCCTCTTGCTGCACAACTTTATTATTTGTCCTGAGCGTTTGAACGGCTTTACTGGTCCAGGGTGTTCCTTTGCATCCCCATCCCTTTCTTTCACCCTTTGGGGATTATTCTGACTTTCTCATTGTTCCTCTGGGAAGGCGGCATCACCATCGTGAGAGAAGGCTGCATACCAGCAGGCAAGGTGATGCAGATATTTGAGAGTGTGAAGAACAGAGTTGTCTGAAACCGACGGAAACTCTCCCCAAGCAAAGGAACAGCATCTGGTCTCAATGAAGGACACGAGGCATCCCACGCCTCACTGGGGCACGTGGCCATGTGAAAGCCATACCTTCTTTAATCAAGCACTTGCCTCCTTGGGAAACAGCAGCACTTCCCCACCCAGCATCTCTCCCGGGAGCTTTCTGCGGCCATTTATTGTTTATCTCCAGTAAGTGCCTGAAACCGCCGGGAGACCTGCCCACGGAGCACCAGCAGGGTCAGGAGCTGGTGCTTTATTGCAGGAATTCCCGGAGTGCCTGTGTTTCCTACATGCCTTGAACTGTGAATGTCCTGCCCGCTTGTATATCCCCTTCCACAACACTCAGATCTGTGTATTTTAAACTGCTAAAATCCACTAAATAAATCCTCTTTCTGGAACATAAGGAAAAGGCTTTGGGTTTCATTTGGTTTCCACTGAGCTATTCATCCTCCAAAAATTGCAAGGCTCCATGGCTAAGCACCAGAGGAAGGAATAAATATTGGAAGGCGCAGTCCTGACACAAGGCTTACAGCGAGTAACTCATCCCCTGTCCTTCTCTGGCATCTCCACAGCCATTCCCTGCAGGCAGAGGCTGAGGTGGGTCTGTGGCCAAGCCGGGAGCTGCAGAGGGTCGGGTGGCCCCTGGTCCCTGAGCACATGGACCAGCTTTATGGGGCATGGAGGGGAGGGAGTTTTCTGCCAAGAGCAGAGAACAGAACCTTCCTCTCCCCCAAAAAGCAAATAAGACCTGGGTTGGGGAGGGGAGTCAGGGACGAGGGAATTTCACTCTTAATAAAGACAAACCTCAACCAAGGAAACAATGAGTTAGGGCCCAAAGACAAGCGACTGGCTTCAAAACACTGCCATGTGCACTGCAGATTTGGAGGGTTTCTGTAATGTTTTTTCCTGAACTGGAGGCAGCGTCCAAGTGGCAGATCCCTGCCAGTTCCCTACAGTTGTTCCTTCTCCTCCCTCCTGCTCTGGGCAGGGAGACTGCTCCCTCAGCACAGCCACGGCACCACCTCCCACCACCCCAGGGACGCTCCCCTTCCCTTCTCTTCTTCCTCATCATTGTTTTAGAGCACTTTTCTCTCTTCCTTATGGACTTCTTGAAGCCACGTTCCCCCCTCCACATCCCTGGGCAGGAGCTCTCCCCCTCCCTGCTCACCCCACGCTGCTCTGGGACCCGAGAAGCCAAACCAGGGAGCTTTTAGGGGCTGGATTCCTCCCACGCTTCATTACTAACGTGTAAACAGTCACTCCGGTTTTAACCATGCCCAGCTTGCTTTGGCACTGGGGTTGTTGTCCATCTGCTCCTCCACGAGGTGCTGTTCGGTGTGCGCCCAGAAGTCACCATAAATAGCAGCATTTACCCTGGCTCTGGGTGACGGATGTTGTTTCATTCAAGCAGCTCCCCAGATTCCCCGGTTAAAAACCCCTTGGCAGGTGTTCCTCGGGTCCCAACACAGGCTCCCCTTCACCCCTGCAGCCTTCTGACCCTGCAGACCCCTCCTCTCCCGGGCTGTCCCTGCTCCGCTCGGGCACAGCCAGGTATTCCCAGCCTCCTGTGGTTTCCCAGCCCTTGCCAGCATCTGTAAGTGGAATTAAGTCATGCTCTCCTCCCTGCACATACCTTACGGTGGCTAAACAAGCCTCCTCACACACTGGGGCCCTTCTCTCCCCACACAAGCATGTATTTTGCCTCCCTGAGCCCTCGGCCAGGGCGGCACCTATATGAGCAGGCTGTGTGTCAGGAGCCCCTGGTCCTCCCCGGAGGTTAGAGTCGGTTCCTCCTCTCTCTGTGAGGGGACAGCACGTCCCCATCACCTCGGCAAAGTGCCGTCCCTCCTCCCTCACTGCCCAGCACCACGGGGCAGAGAGCAGAGCAAACATCTCCCCCTCTTCGCCAGCTCCAGAGGTTCCTCAGGGGTGCTCCTGAGATGGGAAGCGTGTTTGGAGGGCTCTGGATGCTGCTCTCAGGCTCAGCCTCAGGCAAGGAGCAGGATTTCTGTGCCACCCCTTCACCCCAGGGCAGAGTTCTCCTGATTTTTGGGCCAGGCGTCTCCTGGTCCAAAATCCTAACATCTCCTGCTTCTCATGGTGGGCTGAACCACATCCCTGTGTCCTCTCCAGGATGCTGGGCACCTCCTGGCATGGAGCAGCCTGGTCAGCTGCATCTGGCATAAGGGGAAATTCAGCAGCATCCCATGGCCAGGGTGAGGTGGATCAGGGGAGGAGGAAACCACAGGAGACTGAGGAAAGGGAAGATTGCTGTGGGGATTTCTGGGGGAGTTTTAAAATACCATTATCTTCTCCAGCCTGGACCCAGAAAGGCACAGAACGAAGCCAACAACAAACCAGTGCAATAATTTCCTGCTCCTTCACGGGGACAGAGCTACCCGGGGTTCTTCTGCTCCCGGTATATCTGCATCCCAGTTGCAGATGTTGCCACAGAATATTCAGTTTAAATGTACAGATAAATGAATTGGGTAGCTATATTAGACAAAAAAGGTGAAGAGGCCGCCGCTAGCACCGGGTTATTAGTGTAGTGCAAAGAGCTGTTAACCTTCTGCAAGCCCCAGTACAATAAAGCACTTATCCAGTAAATGCATTTAAGTGCCAGCTGAGGTCCACCACCATCCAGCAGAGGCTTAACTTTAAGCATGTGGTGAGGTCCCACAACATGGGACTTCTCTTATGTTTTAATACTCAAAAAACTACTTGATCTTTCCGAGGAAATGAGGGTTTTAAATATTGGCCATGAAGTGCTGGAACGACATCAACAAAAAAAGGCAGAAGGTCCCTTCCTGACTTGTCACCTCTGTGATGTGGGTCTGCCCTCAGCCATCTCCGTGTCAATGGCATGGGACATTTCAGCTCAAGGGAAGGATGTGGAGCTCCCCATCTGCCGTGGTCAGTGCACGCATCAAACAGCCCAGGATTTGGTAAATCAATGCAAATTTTGGCCTGGCTGGAGAAGTTCCCCGTGGGGACTGTGGGCTCCTGGGACGTTGCACAGTGAGCATTTTGGTGGCATCTCGCCCTGTGCTGCTGCTCTCTGGCAGGAAAAGCAAGACTGGGATGTCTCAGCCCTTGAGGAAAGCACTTGAGAGCATCGTGGAGATGCTCTCAGGGGTTAAAATACAAGCTATTTAGCAACTTCAGAGCTGTGGAAAAATTCTACAATTTAAATAATCTATAAATGGAGCAAGATAAAAATGTTACAGGAACCTCTTGGCTTCAGGCAATGGCTTAAGGGAGAACCATGAATGGTATTTCCTTTGAGAAGATGCTTATGCAAATAATCACCTATGAGCAGAGCACAATGAAATCAATAAATTATCTGAACTTACGGGCAGACGGAAAGCCAGACGTGTAAAGATGGAAACTCTTTTATGTGTTGAGTTTTTATGGTTTACTGAATGAGAAAGCAAACAAATGATGTTACAAACATTCACCATAATCTGGGCTTCTTACCTTGACGCCTGATGTCCCATAACTATTCTGCTGTCTCATGAGAAACTGTGGGAGGGAGGTGTTTTCACTCTACCTGTTCTCAGAATCAGGTGGGGCATGATAAGAAGAAAATGGATGTTTCTGTTTAACACAATAAACCACACAATCATTTTCTGTTTCCTCCAGCCTGTGCTGGGAAGAAGCACGCAGCCCTCTGCTGCAAACGAGGAAATACATGAGATTTTTCATTGTTGTCTTGGTGCTGCTAAACAGAGTGGAATATGTCCTTCACAAAACATGTTTGGGTAAATCCTCATTAAATTATTATCATGACAAAGCCCTTTTGTTAAAATGCTGTGAATTAGAGCAGTTTACAAAAACATTAATTTTTTGCTGGTTTAGCTGAGATTTATCTCCTCTTGACAAGCAAACCTGTTGTTCCATAATCTCCAGCGATGCTGGCCAGAAAAGCCCAATTGTGTGTGCAAGACCACAGGAATAGAGGAACAGCAAAACTTAAACCAATTGACAACGTGTCTGGCTTGGGAGCTCCTGCCCAGCAGATGTTGAGCAGATGCTCAACAAATGCCCAGGAAAAGTCCAGTTTTTCCATGGTGGCCACTCATAGCTGCCTCCAAGAGGGTTTCATTTAATTCCCAATAGCAACAACTTTAAATCCTGTGCACGTGTGATGAGATCCTGCCCAATGCATTAGTACTGACTGTTGGATCTCCAGAGATCCTTCATGATTTTGGTCTGTACATCAGAATCCTGTGGGGACAGGCTGAGAGAGTTGGGGGGGGGGGTTCAGCCTGGAGAAGAGAAGGCTCTGGGGAGACTTTCGAGCCCCTTCCAGCCCCTCAAGGGGCTCCAGGAGAGATGGGGAGGGACTCTGGATCAGGGAGGGGAGCCCTAGGAGGAGGGGGAAGGGTTTGACCCTGAAAGAGGGGAGATGGAGATGAGATCTTGGGAGGAAATTCTTCCCCCTGAGGGTGGTGAGAGCCTGGCCCAGGTTGCCCAGAGAAGCTGTGGCTGCCCCATCCCTGGAGGGGTTCAAGGGCAGGTTGGAGGGGGCTTGGAGCAACCCGGTCTGGTGGGAGGTGTCCCTGCCCAGGGCAGGGGGTGGCACTGGGCGGGCATTAAGGTCCCTTCCAACCCAAACCATTCTATGATTCTATGATCAGGTTGTCTATTCTGCCATTTTGGGCAAATATAAGACAGAATTCATCCCTCTGGTCTCTGAATAATTATCACGACACGTTAACCTGGAAAAGGGCTTAGTCACCAGCCCCAACGTAAGCGAGCAGCACCATGTCAAGCCTCCATGAATAGAACAGGTCTCTGTGTCCCGTACACTCAGCACAAGGAGATTGGGAGCTGGAGCAACGTCTCCTGGTCGCATACCCACAATTCTTCCCAGGGACCCAAAGCAAACTCCCCAGGTCTGGACCGTCTCTGCCAGCGCTTCTGCAAGGTTAGAGGGAAACAAACACACCTCCCTTAGATCAACAACGGGAGCTTTCAATTCCTTTATTCAAGCTCTCTGAACACTGGATCCTTTCATTAGGGCTATTGCTAATATTTAATGCCTCTTGCTGTGTTTTCCATGACAAGACGCTATATATTGCTGAAGGCTCCTTTCCAAGTGGGAACCAGCAATGAACCACCCGCCCTTCGGTTTCTAACTGAGCTAGGGGTAAAGGATGCAAACCATGACGTATTTGCCCCTAAATCTCTCCTGTGTATGGGTTTCTTCATTTTGCCCCCACTTCTCATCCCAGTGTTTGCCAAGATGTGAGCTGAGCTCTAAAGGATGGGGCAGAGAAGAGCAGCCCACCTGTGGGTGCAATCAGATGGGAGAGGGAAAGAAGTGCAGAGGCAGGAATGGGAGAGGAGCTTTTAGGCAAGGAAACAGAAAGTCGTTATTTTATTAAAAGAAACATTGGT